TTATCAGATATCGCGGCCGCCGTTTCGTGTGCTGTTCCGCGACGAAGACAAGCTTTGAACAACGGGCGTAGTCGAACGGTACACACTCGGTAAGTAATCCTATAATTTTTTGTTTATAGCATAGTTTATACGGATTACTCCCAAAAAATTATACGTGTTTTGGAAATGTTGAGTGGAATTAGTCTAGAATCGGTTAATTTTATAGAAGAAAACCTTTCGAACAGCCTTAGTCCGTAAAGTTCCCACCTATCGGGCTGTGATTGGCTCATGTATTTAATCATTCCTACCACGTAAAATTCGATTAGCGTGGAACGTATCTAAGCGTTATAGGGGGGTCTACTGTATTCAAATCAATTTTGTTTATGAAAAACTTTATAAAAACTTATTTATTACATAAAATTATTTTAAATTTAATGAAATGATTATACAAACCTAGTGGAAATACATGTGTCCAGCGTCTTCTATTTGAAGTCAGTTTTATGGTGACGTGAGATGGATCAAATGGATTAACTAAAGCTCGTGAATGACAATGAATAATTTTATGAGTATTTATTTGCTCATGTGAATCAGCACTTCCAACAATACTGCGAAAAGGTGGTGAAAAATCAGGATCAAGATCGTCTCTTGATAGAGGTCGTTTCAAAGTCACTTCTCTAACTAGAAGCAAATAAAAGAAGTTAAATAAATTTCATTGTATTTTCAAATAAACATATTAAATTTCTTTTTGGGAAAAATTTTAACAAGCTTTTGCATAATAAATATGAAAATTACTAAATTAATAATACACCCAATTGTTTTTACATGGTAGATATATTCACAAAAAAAAATCCACGTTAAAATAAAAAGATACTAACATATGGAAAAAAATATAAAAAAAATGGAAAGTTGGTTCCAGACCTTAAAAACCAATAAAAAGAATACAATAAACTAATTGCAACACTGAAGGTTGTGAAATTTTAAAAGATAGCATCAAGTGTATTATGACAGAAAACAATCAANATACTAACATATGGAAAAAAATATAAAAAAAATGGAAAGTTGGTTCCAGACCTTAAAAACCAATAAAAAGAATACAATAAACTAATTGCAACACTGAAGGTTGTGAAATTTTAAAAGATAGCATCAAGTGTATTATGACAGAAAACAATCAACTAAAAAGAAGACTACAGGAACACCTAGAAATTCTGAAAATACAGGAAGACATCAGAATTAATAACAACGTGGGACTGAAGCTACATGAGGGGTGGATTGACATCGTTTTCACTTAACCTTGAAACAGATGCTGAACAGATGTAGGGAGTATAGTCACATCACTTTGTAAAATGCAGTGTGACAGTGCAGTTGACTTCACAAAGGCTTATAGATTAGATGTATTTTGTTTTTATTAAAATATGGAGACCAATTGGTTTTAATAAGAGTAAGTTTATTGTTAGCTTCCTTTCCCCTTTTTGTGTTTTTTTAATATACTTAACAATATTCATTATTAATAGTGTAACCGTCTACCAGAATTTGGAAAATGTAGGAGAAACTAAGACATTTACTAGTTCCAGATAATATGTTATACCACATTGTCATTGTATTCTAATTTATACTTGATATTTTAGTTTTTAGTGTATGGGTTACATTGAGAAATTGTAAATGCAGTGCACTGCATATGTTGGTTATCCTGTTGTATTGGCAGGTTATAGGTATTGTATTTGTTACAATGTTACCAAGTGTTTATAAGCTGATGAGGGGTCCCTGTACCCGAAATGCATACTTACCTAAATTTGAAATGTGATTATTAATAATTATATAAAGACCAACCATTTTTTATAAAAGTTCTGGTCCTTCTTTCAGTCGGCCTTGGTGTGATAAGCCCTGCAAATTGTTATACCCTATTTATTAGGTTATCTAACTCTGTCTAATACAATAAACTAATTATAATATACAATAATAGGATACATTTAAGAAAATTTCTTCAATTTCAGTTAATAAATAAGAGGAGGAGCAATTATAACTTACATATCTGAAAAATTTAATAAATTACTATTATTTACTTTTTTTGGAATATTTTTGAGAAAACATGTATATTACTAATACCAGCATTTACACATTAATTTTGATTCATATAAATTGACATCATTAAACCTATCCATTGAGAGATTTAAATAGAATGACAATATATGTCAACAATCATTAAAATGTAATCATTATAAGTCATATCCAAATAAATAATGAATTTTTATTTGAATGAAATTTAAAAAAATGATAATAGGGTATATTTACAGTCAAAAGAGATAGAGAAAAAACCAAATGGTAAAACCAATTAGAAATAAGAACAATTGTTTGATGATAATAATGCTTGAAAATATAAATTTTAATAATATGATGATAATAGTTACAGAAATTAACAGTAGAATGCTTATAAGAGATAGAGTTCTACCTATTATAGTATATTTAATAAAATATATTTTTATATTTTATATTAAACAAATTTTTGTCTTCTTTATAACTATAGTATATTGATAATGTACTATAGTTTTACACATAGAATTTTTATTAATGCTATTCCTTTCACTGACAAAGTGTAATTATATTTAAAAAGTTAAATATTATATCAATATTTTTGAATTCTGAAACGTAATAAAGATAAAATACTCTGTTCTTGTGTACCATATTCAAAAGTAATCTTTTATATAAAATTTGACCTGCAAATACATCAATGTTTTTAGCTTAGAAAACTTTGAAAGACTAAAAACCAGAATAAATAAAAAGAAAACCTAAAGTGTCAATAAGAAAATTGAATATTTTATTAAAATTTCACAATATCTTGGTTTTGAAAGTTTTTAATCAATTTTTCAAGTTGTGCAAATATTATATAAATATTAAAAAATATAATCTAATCATATTTGGATTCATATAAAAAAAATATAAAAATCAATATAAAAAAATCAATATTAAAAAATATCATTATATTTTCATTGACAGTTAAAAAGTACGAAAGAGAAACAGCTCAAAAACTCAATATAATCTATTTTATCCAAAAAATAGACTTCAACTGAAATCTTAAATCTTTATTTTGTATAATAATTTTAATGCAAGTTCTCAATTAAAGTAGTCTTTTTTAGATGATAATATAATTCTTAAAAATTAATTAGTATTGATTTTATATATATTTTACTAAAAAAAATTATAGATCAGAATGAAAAAAAAAAAAATGAAGGAAAATCATAATTTATTTATTTTGTAAGACATTAACAGAAATGAGTTATAATATGTATAAATTAGTTTATATGTAATAATAATTTTGTATTTAATGCATATTTTTTAATAATGTCTACTAATTTTCTGGGCTTGAACAATTTTATCTCACTATAACATAAAATAGATTATAAAATTATATATAAAAATGTTTTTACCAGGAACGTAAGGTGTTCCCAAAGATGATGATAAATAACAAATATTGCTTTGTGAATTTGGAAGTGGAATTGTAATAGCTGGAGATGGCACATAAACAGATTTTGGCTCTGGAATTGTTTCTGAAGCCACAAAACAAGTCGTTGAAGTTTTATCTTCTGACATCCTTCTTGGAAGAATGGTACGAGGGTGATTGTTAGATGGAAGTGTTGCCTTTCGTCTTGATGAATGACGTTGTAAACTGTGTGTTGTGCTAAACAAGAACTTTAAAATCAAAACTATGCACTTACATAAAATTATTCATATTTTAAATATTTTTAAAATTCAGTACTTTCTATTATTTTGTATTTTCAGTTTTTTTAATTTTTTTTAACATTTTTCTTTATAATAAATATTTCAATAGAAAATTTGAAATGAAATGAAATTAAAAATTTATAAATTATTAAATTAAAATCATATGATCATTTAAAACACATTAAAAATTAAAAAGATACATTTTGTAAAAAACATATTTGATATCTTAATGGTTTCATATTTTTCTAGTAAAAAAAAAATAATAACAAAAATGAATACTGTATTTACTTGAACCTAAGATGCACCTTAATTTCTACATACTTACCCATGGATATTTTGTTTTAAATAAATAATTTGAGACAAATTTATTGTGAAGACAGTATATTTATTACACAGTAACCTTGCTTTACTGTGCAATAAATACTAAACAAAATTAAGTCAACAGAATGATTCTGTTGATGTAAAGTTTTTTTTCAAGTTGTCTATTTTTCAAAAAAAAAAAAAAGAAAGAAAAACCATGGGTGGTGAACATGTAGAAATTAAGGTTCATCTTAGATTTGATGGCATCTTATATTCAAGTAAATATGGTATTGTTAAATTCATAACTATTTATAAATTTATAATCATAAAAAAATAATATTTACAATTAAATTTCTTAAGATTACTATTTACATTTAACACATTTCATTCTATTGGATAGTTATTTCTTACACTGTATAAAATACAGTTGTACCTATCTATCTCAAATTTCAAGGTAATGAGAAAACAATTTGAGATAAACATGTTTCGAGATATACAGGTTCTTACACAGTAAACAGTAATAGGTTTGATTGGAGGTATGGTATTTTATTAATACATTAGCATGTACAGTACATACCTGTATTAGGTACAAATAAAACATTTTTGACAAAACTTAACAGAAATAGTTTGTCAATAGTTTCTGATGCCTGATTTTCTTCAACAAATAAGATGCAAGCCAAACTTATCCAAACTGTATCCAATCAGAGAAAAAAAAAAAAAAAACCATTAATTGCAAATATGCATTATATTGGAAGACATGTTTCTCATCTACAATTTATGCTATCAAAATGTAGTCCCTGAACTTTGAATTTATAATTGACACTTCATTCCGTAATTTGAGATAGAGAGGTTTTGGAAGAAAATTGAGATGAGCATGTAAAATTGAATTTAGGATGAAAATGCAGGAAAAAAATTTGCAATAAAGAAGAGATTTTTGATATAAATATGTTTTAGAAAGACAGGTTCAATTATATACAATGACTTGCTGAAGCAAAAATAGTAACGAAAGTTATATTGTTAAAAGTTATTTGCAAACAACTTTATAAAACATTCATATTTTTAACAAATAATAATTAGAAAATATTTTAAAAATTTGAATATAAAAATATAAATGCTAACTCATATGATTACAGACATGCATAGTCATATCAAATATGCTATTCACACTCAAAGCCAAATTTCTATTACGTATACACTGCTTGTGATCTTAAAAAAACAATTGTGACTGCTAGGGATGAAATTGGTCCTGAAAGGCCAACAACTCTTACTACATCCATGACCAATCAATTGATTGATGTTAATTTGTTTACTATTAACCCAAATAAATATTAAACATTGTTTTTCCCTACTATGTTTTGTTTTCATTGTGCTTTTTTGATTCTGGTCTCAAACTTTTTCTAGGAAAATTGTAAGTTGTTTAAGTAATAGTAAGTTTTTACTTGATATTTGTTTGGTTTATGGTTATTTTAATATCTAAACAACAACATATTTACAGGCAATCAGTTAATTTTAATGGAAGGTTTGAAAACCCAGGTAATCTCAAATGTTTTCCAAGACTGTATATAGTAATGATAAATATTTAAAGTACATATTATTATTATTATTTATAACTAAATAAATAAATTTAGAATAAAATTTAATTAAATAATTATTGACTTTGCTTACCGAGAATTTTGTGAATGAGAAGGTAATTTGAATATATATTCATCATATTCATCAAAATTAAAAAGTGAAGGAAATGAATCAGGTTGGTTAATGTAATGTGGACGTTTTGTATACACAACTATAAATAAGTAGATAAATATAAATTACATTTAAACAATTTGCAATTATATCAATACTTTATAATAAACTAATAAAAAAAAATCTAATTCATCAGTAAAAATTCAATTTATAGTTATAACACAAACATTAAGAATTTTAATAATCAAAAAAAGTAAGGAGAAAATTAATAACATATTTAACTAAAATTTTAAATTTTAATCTCTTTATGAGTAGAAGTAATTTATAAAACTAAATAAATTTATTCAGAAGTATAGTTAAATAAAATAAATAATGATATAAGAATTAAGATACTATACTATCTTAATTCTTATATCATTATTATTTTATGATATAAAAAATATCTAAATCTATAATAAACTTAGTAATTTCTGTTTTAGATATGTGCTATCAGCTATAAACATGACTATCAATACTACTTAACAGATAATAATACAGGTGTGACTTCTTAATTTATGCATTTTTAAGTTACATTTCAATTCCATTACAACATGCTCATTTATCAAATGGAATAAATGAAATCAATGCAATCATGTCATGGATTCCATTTCTTCATTTTAACTGTTGATGTTAACTGTTATTTAATGAATATTGATTTTATATTCACATTGGGTGTTACAGTATTAGTTATTCTTTTCTAATTATCTTCATTTCATTCATTTTTACATTTTTTTTGAATAGTCATGTTTTTATTGATGGGAATTACCATCACTGTTTGCTTATAAAACAATGCTACAGAAGTAGGAGATTGTGTAAGTAAATAAAAATAAAACCTTGAAATCATAACTTTTTTATTTTGACTTCAAATATTTTACACTTGTTATGGTCAAAAAATTGAATGTGTTACCCAATTTAATTAGTTATATTGCAGTCTAGAGTATTGGACTCCCAACCACAGCAATGAAAGGGAGTCAAAGTGTACACAAATTTAAGAAATGTGTAGTAACCATATTTAGAAAAAGTACCATGAGAGGCCAACTTTATAGACTGCAAATTTCTTGTTTTGTTTTTCTGAAGATTATTAATTAATGTTCTATTGAAAAAGTGCATAATTTATTTTCACTTATTTGGTAATGATATGTTTCATGCTTTGTCAGAGCAACTTACATGAATAATTATCAAAAAATGTGATAATAGGCTTATATTATGTATGCAACTGGATTTAAGTTTTGTCCACCCTGTTAACTTCCACCAGAACTAATCTAAAAAATTGATGAGTACTAAGTAGTTTGTCATAAACACACACTTTTTTATATATATTAGTATATAATTAACTTAAACTTTTTAATAATCAAATTATATATTAAAACTAAAACTTAATTTCTAATCATAAATGCTATGCTTTTGTTTTAATTCAATTAAAATTTCAAATCAAAGGTTAAAATTACTTAGAATTAAATTTTTGTTTTAATTTTAATAAAAAATTAAGAACAACTTACTTTTTCCTTTTTCTTTTTCTGATGATTTTGTCTAAAAAATACAAATGTGGAAATAAAAGTAAAAATATTAATGTCTATTTAAAAACATTCTGAAATAAATACTCACAAATGGCATTGGCAATTTGATTCGAGGAACAAAATTTGAATAACTTATTTGTTTTGTTGAAGAATAAAAACTATAAAAAATTTAACAATTATAAAAAAATATCTTATATTTTGTAAATTAAAAATAAAAGTTTTATATAAACTATAAATATAAAATTATTATTAATTATATTATTTTTTATAATTACTGATGAGTTTGTTTGAATAATCAATCATTTAAAATATTTCAAATGATTCACTCTCCTCTTTTTAAAATGTTTCAACCTTAAAATAAAGAAATTCTTGTTCATATAAATACAAAATCCTTCAGTCTACATTTAAAATTTATTCAAAAAATTATTTTCACCTGCAAGAATTTTTTCCTGTTTGGGAAAAAATTTTTTTCTTCAAATACTGCACTACACAGTTAAATAGTTTTTTACCATGTGCTATAAACCAAGGCCTAATTAAATAAGTTATTTGGATGTGTCCAGTGGTGATATTCGAAATATTTAACAAAGGGTTCGCTAACAGAAAATTTTTCCTTAACAATTTTTTTTCACTCAAATGGTGCATTAGCAACATTAGCNAAAGAAAAACCATGGGTGGTGAACATGTAGAAATTAAGGTTCATCTTAGATTTGATGGCATCTTATATTCAAGTAAATATGGTATTGTTAAATTCATAACTATTTATAAATTTATAATCTAAAAAAATAATATTTACAATTAAATTTCTTAAGATTACTATTTACATTTAACACATTTCATTCTATTGGATAGTTATTTCTTACACTGTATAAAATACAGTTGTACCTATCTATCTCAAATTTCAAGGTAATGAGAAAACAATTTGAGATAAACATGTTTCGAGATATACAGGTTCTTACACAGTAAACAGTAATAGGTTTGATTGGAGGTATGGTATTTTATTAATACATTAGCATGTACAGTACATACCTGTATTAGGTACAAATAAAACATTTTTGACAAAACTTAACAGAAATAGTTTGTCAATAGTTTCTGATGCCTGATTTTCTTCAACAAATAAGATGCAAGCCAAACTTATCCAAACTGTATCCAATCAGAGAAAAAAAAAAAAAAAAACCATTAATTGCAAATATGCATTATATTGGAAGACATGTTTCTCATCTACAATTTATGCTATCAAAATGTAGTCCCTGAACTTTGAATTTATAATTGACACTTCATTCCGTAATTTGAGATAGAGAGGTTTTGGAAGAAAATTGAGATGAGCATGTAAAATTGAATTTAGGATGAAAATGCAGGAAAAAAATTTGCAATAAAGAAGAGATTTTTGATATAAATATGTTTTAGAAAGACAGGTTCAATTATATACAATGACTTGCTGAAGCAAAAATAGTAACGAAAGTTATATTGTTAAAAGTTATTTGCAAACAACTTTATAAAACATTCATATTTTTAACAAATAATAATTAGAAAATATTTTAAAAATTTGAATATAAAAATATAAATGCTAACTCATATGATTACAGACATGCATAGTCATATCAAATATGCTATTCACACTCAAAGCCAAATTTCTATTACGTATACACTGCTTGTGATCTTAAAAAAACAATTGTGACTGCTAGGGATGAAATTGGTCCTGAAAGGCCAACAACTCTTACTACATCCATGACCAATCAATTGATTGATGTTAATTTGTTTACTATTAACCCAAATAAATATTAAACATTGTTTTTCCCTACTATGTTTTGTTTTCATTGTGCTTTTTTGATTCTGGTCTCAAACTTTTTCTAGGAAAATTGTAAGTTGTTTAAGTAATAGTAAGTTTTTACTTGATATTTGTTTGGTTTATGGTTATTTTAATATCTAAACAACAACATATTTACAGGCAATCAGTTAATTTTAATGGAAGGTTTGAAAACCCAGGTAATCTCAAATGTTTTCCAAGACTGTATATAGTAATGATAAATATTTAAAGTACATATTATTATTATTATTTATAACTAAATAAATAAATTTAGAATAAAATTTAATTAAATAATTATTGACTTTGCTTACCGAGAATTTTGTGAATGAGAAGGTAATTTGAATATATATTCATCATATTCATCAAAATTAAAAAGTGAAGGAAATGAATCAGGTTGGTTAATGTAATGTGGACGTTTTGTATACACAACTATAAATAAGTAGATAAATATAAATTACATTTAAACAATTTGCAATTATATCAATACTTTATAATAAACTAATAAAAAAAAATCTAATTCATCAGTAAAAATTCAATTTATAGTTATAACACAAACATTAAGAATTTTAATAATCAAAAAAAGTAAGGAGAAAATTAATAACATATTTAACTAAAATTTTAAATTTTAATCTCTTTATGAGTAGAAGTAATTTATAAAACTAAATAAATTTATTCAGAAGTATAGTTAAATAAAATAAATAATGATATAAGAATTAAGATACTATACTATCTTAATTCTTATATCATTATTATTTTATGATATAAAAAATATCTAAATCTATAATAAACTTAGTAATTTCTGTTTTAGATATGTGCTATCAGCTATAAACATGACTATCAATACTACTTAACAGATAATAATACAGGTGTGACTTCTTAATTTATGCATTTTTAAGTTACATTTCAATTCCATTACAACATGCTCATTTATCAAATGGAATAAATGAAATCAATGCAATCATGTCATGGATTCCATTTCTTCATTTTAACTGTTGATGTTAACTGTTATTTAATGAATATTGATTTTATATTCACATTGGGTGTTACAGTATTAGTTATTCTTTTCTAATTATCTTCATTTCATTCATTTTTACATTTTTTTTGAATAGTCATGTTTTTATTGATGGGAATTACCATCACTGTTTGCTTATAAAACAATGCTACAGAAGTAGGAGATTGTGTAAGTAAATAAAAATAAAACCTTGAAATCATAACTTTTTTATTTTGACTTCAAATATTTTACACTTGTTATGGTCAAAAAATTGAATGTGTTACCCAATTTAATTAGTTATATTGCAGTCTAGAGTATTGGACTCCCAACCACAGCAATGAAAGGGAGTCAAAGTGTACACAAATTTAAGAAATGTGTAGTAACCATATTTAGAAAAAGTACCATGAGAGGCCAACTTTATAGACTGCAAATTTCTTGTTTTGTTTTTCTGAAGATTATTAATTAATGTTCTATTGAAAAAGTGCATAATTTATTTTCACTTATTTGGTAATGATATGTTTCATGCTTTGTCAGAGCAACTTACATGAATAATTATCAAAAAATGTGATAATAGGCTTATATTATGTATGCAACTGGATTTAAGTTTTGTCCACCCTGTTAACTTCCACCAGAACTAATCTAAAAAATTGATGAGTACTAAGTAGTTTGTCATAAACACACACTTTTTTATATATATTAGTATATAATTAACTTAAACTTTTTAATAATCAAATTATATATTAAAACTAAAACTTAATTTCTAATCATAAATGCTATGCTTTTGTTTTAATTCAATTAAAATTTCAAATCAAAGGTTAAAATTACTTAGAATTAAATTTTTGTTTTAATTTTAATAAAAAATTAAGAACAACTTACTTTTTCCTTTTTCTTTTTCTGATGATTTTGTCTAAAAAATACAAATGTGGAAATAAAAGTAAAAATATTAATGTCTATTTAAAAACATTCTGAAATAAATACTCACAAATGGCATTGGCAATTTGATTCGAGGAACAAAATTTGAATAACTTATTTGTTTTGTTGAAGAATAAAAACTATAAAAAATTTAACAATTATAAAAAAATATCTTATATTTTGTAAATTAAAAATAAAAGTTTTATATAAACTATAAATATAAAATTATTATTAATTATATTATTTTTTATAATTATTGATGAGTTTGTTTGAATAATCAATCATTTAAAATATTTCAAATGATTCACTCTCCTCTTTTTAAAATGTTTCAACCTTAAAATAAAGAAATTCTTGTTCATATAAATACAAAATCCTTCAGTCTACATTTAAAATTTATTCAAAAAATTATTTTCACCTGCAAGAATTTTTTCCTGTTTGGGAAAAAATTTTTTTCTTCAAATACTGCACTACACAGTTAAATAGTTTTTTACCATGTGCTATAAACCAAGGCCTAATTAAATAAGTTATTTGGATGTGTCCAGTGGTGATATTCGAAATATTTAACAAAGGGTTCGCTAACAGAAAATTTTTCCTTAACAATTTTTTTTCACTCAAATGGTGCATTAGCAACATTAGCACAAAAACTGACCTTAAGATACCCATATAAATAAAAAAGATATATATTACACACGATGATAAAACTGACATAACTACGCGGTAAGTCACGAACACTGACAAACAAAATGGAAGTTTTGGTTAGAAATAAATACAATACTTTTTCTTGAGATATATCTAATAATAGACAGATGTCATCGTCTCTCGAAATACAATATCTTTTTTATTTCACTGTCAATAGCCCGACATGTGTTCCGCAGCCATCTTGTATTTTCTCGCACGTGTGGGATTGTGGGGTCTCTCTTATGACTGGATCTAGTTTTAAGAACTCTCTTGAGTCGATCGAGATTGAACCTCGTTTCAATCTCGACTGGAACGGTCGAGGAAGGTCGCACCAGGCAAATGGTGTATAAGGCTTTAGTTTAGTAGTGTTACAAAGTATAATATGTATATTTTAATATATTTTTTTTGAAAGAAACAAAACCACTGAGAAATGTTACGTGTGTTTAACAAGGTTCAGAAAACTTTGAAAATGTTAACAACAGGTTCGGCTGAACCTGTGCGAACCCGCTGAATATCACCACTGGATGTGTCTTAATTTGTTTCTATGACAGACAATTAATAACAGTTTCAGTTTTTAAACATTTACTGTATATTTACTGACATGCCACATATAAATGGGGGAGACTAGTATGCCAGTTAAACTGCAACTAAAATATAAAATTAATCAGACCTAACAAAACTAGTTGTTAAAAAAAGAACATTCTTCAAAATATAATAATATCATTGTAATTTGAATGACTTAAAATCAGGAAGAGAGTTTTTGTTTACAAAGCAATAAAACAATTAGTGACTTATTGGTGGTGATGGTAATAGTAGGTCAGTGTGGCTACAGCTACACTGACCATCCATTCCAACCTTAAAAATAACACCGTCCTCTCAAATTTCATACAAAGCCAATGTTAATCCATATAAGTTGAGATAATTTACAGTGAATTTTTTAAATTTAATATGTCTATTTTTTGTTTTTGAATTGAATTACCATAAAATAAATATAAAAAAAGCACCTTTGGAATTCCACAAGTATTTTATGTTGTTAGAAAGAAGATAAAATGAAAAAATTAAACAGATAATCATAGTTTTTTTATGTAAGCTGACAGTTTCAGAATAAAAAAACATTTGTTTTTACTTGATGTAACTCTCTTGTTTTTTTAATGCACCCTCTAAAGAGGAATGTGTAACTTAAACCAGCATGTCGACATACCTCTGGGATAAACTGGCATGTCAGTTTTTACCATATGGAATAATCTGATTTCCTGGTCGCCCCTGGATAGACTGGCATACCTGTCATTAAAGTATTTAAGCCTAAAACATTCAGCTATTTAATCACTTTATAAATTAAAATGATATATTTACCAGTAAATACAATTATAAATAACTTATTAATTTAAGAATTAAAGGATTAAGAATAGTTTTCCAATCAAGAGTATATAAAAAGTAAACAATTTACAATACATTTTAGTTAGCTATTAAATATATCAATTAAGCTCATTACAATTCATATGAATTTATTTTTTTATATATGAGAACAATGATGCCTGCAGACTATAAAAAAAGGAGGCACAAGCTATAAAAAGTGCATCATATATAATGCAAGAAGCCTCAAACTATGATTCAATGTCAGATCAGTGCTCCCTTAAGATGGCAAACACTTGGGGCTAACTTGGCCTTGAAAACAAAGAATATATGGGCACCTGTTTGAAAATGTATATTTAAAAAAATTAATTTCAAAACAAATGCATAAATAATAAAAATAAAACAAAAATTTATGAACATAAATAAATGAATTATTATAAAATAGATTTGATTTGGTTTGATATGGCTTATCTCCCAAGGAGAGAGCCACCTGAGAGGAATTTTTATGGGAAACTGACTCCTATTTAGATGTTAGTTAAGTGGAGAAACATGGAAAAATCCATGTGACCAACTAACAGTGCTCAGTGGTTATATCCACTCAGTTACTGGTAGGCTAAGACAGATTCAAAAATCAATTTTTCTTCTTCAGTATCTTCTCTCAGAACAACTAAATTTTCAACAAAATTATAGATGGCATAAGATACCTGCTCTAAATTAATCTTTGTATAATACACATCTAACTATAATGAACATTTTAGGAGTCCTAAAATCAATAATCTATACAACTATTGACACTTTTGCAAATCTACTTCATAAAAATTTCATCTTTTATTATTGTCTACATTTTAATAATATCAATTTATTGCAAATTAATTGCAATCATTGCATCATTGAATGTGTTTTAAATAGTTACATGATATAAATAACTGTTTGTTTTCTAAATTTAGAATTTTTTTAATTTCTGAAAAAGTTACAAAATAGTATAAGAATAATTACTTCAATAAAGCAATTACAAGGTCTGTTCAAAAAATACGCAAACTGACGTCATAAAACAAAAATGTACTTTATGTAGAAGTTACATGTCTGGGTCCCCTACAAAGTACTCTCCTTCCCAACGCACATACTTATCCCAATGGTGTTTCCACTTGTTGAAACAGTCCTGGTATACTTCTTTTGTAATGTCTTTTAGCACCTTTGTCGCATTTGCCTTAATCTCAGGAATCGTTTCAAATCTTCTTCCTTTCAAGGGTCTTTTGAGTTTGGGAAACAAGAAAAAGTCACAAGGAGCACTGTCAGGTGAGTAGGGGGAGTGGGGAAGAACAGTGATCAAGTGTTTGGCTAAAAACTAACGAGTTCTGAGGGCTGAATGGGCTGGAGTATTGTCATGATGGAGAAACCAATTGCCACTCCTCTGCATTTCTGACCTTTTGAAACAGATGGCATCCCTCAGACATTTCAGAACTTCAATGTAATAAGTCTGTTTCACTGTGGAGCCTTGGAGGAGATACTCGTGGTGAACAACACCCTTAGCATCAAAGAAAACTGTCAGAATCACCTTGATATTGGATCGAACTTGCAAGCTTTTTTGGGTCTAGGGACGTTTCACCCACCCACTGGTTGAGCAAAGCAAATGTTTTAGTCGCAGATTTTCCAAGTTTAACATAAAATTTCACAGTGAGTCGTTGCTCCTTCAGGTCATTCATTCTGAAATCCGACAAACGAAAAAAATCGCACTTCACTAAAAACTGCATAGCTAATCTACAAATAAAGATATCTGTAATCGGAAAATGCGTTATCACCAGGTGATCTGTACAAACCTAGCAACACCAAGCCGATTCCCTTGGAACCAACTGGAGCCAGGCAAATCAAACAGTCCACGTATTTTTTGAACAGACCTCGTATTTTAACTAATAAACATAACATTATTGGAATTTTCTATTTTCTATTAATCATACAATTTCTGTCAGCTAAAAATCTATCAGAATTAAATAAAAGATCAAATGATATTCATTGAAAGTTCTTTAAGAAAACATATTTCACAAACTGGATAAATTAGTCACTTTACATGTAATTCAAACATCTACTATCTTTCCTATTAAATTTCAACAGTTCAAATTTTAATTCAGACAATATAAAAATAGGACCAATAGAAATAAAAGATAATATACACCTTACATTAAATTTAAATTAATAATGCCGAATATAGTAAGCAAAAATTACAAAAAATTAACAGGACTTGTTGACTTCTAATGATTTAGAACAGAATTTTCCAAAGCAGGTGATGTGTCCTCTGGGAAATATTGAAATTATCTAAATAGAGAATGAGAGACAAGTAGGTGCAAGGAAACACTGGAGGAGCCTCCAAACTTGTTTTTCACTTATTTATAATTAATCACTAATGATTCAGATTATGACTAATTTGCATTGCATTGCATTGCATAAGCATTGATTGAACAGCAGATTTAAATATTAATTTAGCTATTAAAAAATTCCTCCTTGCATTTCCTACATCATATTTGATACACCATGTTTTTATTGCAGTCTCTCTCCATGCAAAGAAATTGACTGTAGATTATTAACATTTGCTAAGTAACTTTAGAGCACTTTGAAAAATGTATAGAATCCATTCTTCATGTTAGTTATCTACTAACAGCAAAGTATGGATTCAATTTCTTATTAAAAATTCTTTCTAATCAAGGTGAATTAAGTAAGATATTTCAACATCAACAAGTAAATAGAAAACAAGAAAGAAACTTATCAAATTTTACTATTTCATCCTTCACAATCTTTTATTCTTATATTTCATCAAAATTAATGCTTTTTACAAATAACTCTAAGCACTACAAATATTCCAAATTGATAGTTTATTAGATCAAATATTAACTAACTTATATAAATATCTACGATCCTAACTTTATTACTTTCAATGTTTCTTCTTTATTGACTCATGTCTATTTGTTAACTACAACTCCACAATGATATTAATTATATAAGAAATATTTTTCTGATTTATATTTCAATTAAAATAATAATTTTATATAAATACAGTTTTGGACAAAAACTATTTAGTAAGGAAAATGCCTTAAATCAAAGTATTGTACATATCAATAAACATTATGTAATGTCTATCTATTTTTATTGAGAATCCAGATAGTTTCCTAATGGTGTGTTACATAAACAGAGTTTGGTTAGTGCCAGGGCTGGACTTTATGTGGGCAAAAATATGAATGTAATTTGTTAATGAATATAAAAAATCCAAAATAAGTACTATATGTACAAAAAAATCGATTTATTACTCTAAACCCGAATCATACAATAATGAAATAAGTTAGAGAAAATTCAAAAGTACAATAAAAGATATTTTATCAAATCCAAAACAACTATATACAAAAAACTTTCCCAAAACTTGGGAACTAAAAATTATGAAATTAAATCTATTTTATTTCTATCTCCACAAAACTGACAAGCAAATATGCAATTGAACTATATCAAAAAATTCACAAAGTAATCTTACAGATTAAATTCACCTAACCATCACCAAGAACTTCTACATCATCAATGAAACTTGAAAGCCTTTTCTTAACCTTGCTCTTATCCTTAGCTCCACCTTGTTCAATCTCTACCTTCACTTCCTTCTTATGGTGCAGTTGTGGTGATGTTATAGTTATGCCCATTTGACCTTTTTTACATACTTAAGTCACTAACATTCATATAAAATTCTAGTAATCTTTTCATTATTTCATGTCATAAATAATCTTTATAATTTTCCCTTGTGACAATTTGGACAATTTGGAGTGTGAGATCATTCTTTTAACTTTCATTAGGAGTCTCCTCAAGATGTTGTTTGTGGGTTTGATGATATAATTGGTTGCTGCCAACAGTTGTCGTAGTAAGATGATTTTTGATTTTTAGAATTTTGCCCAATTGAGGTGCAGTAGTCTATCCTTCATGAAATAAAATGCCCCAAAATAAATAGAATAATAAACCAAAACTTATCCCTAAACTAAATGAAATGGGTTAGAATAAATTCATTACAATTTAATCAATACTAATTGGTTAATGGATTTAATTATTCAGAATTCATACTATGAGTTTTTGAATTAATGATACCCATAAGTATCACATAAATAATTCTGAAAATATTTGTAAATACTAAATCTATGAATCTATCAGTGTGAATATTTTGTAATAATTTATATATATTTGACTTTTATATATTAAAATTTGAAACATTCTTACCTTAAGTTAATCCAATGAGGCATATTATAATCATCAATTACAGTTGTAACATTACTGCTTTTTTGTTTATTATGAAACTATAATAGGATAATCAATATATTTTTATTAATGTATACAAATTAAAAATAAATGAAATATATTAAATATTTATAAATCTTTTAATATAATAATATTAATTAATTAATAAAAATAATAACCATTCAGAAAATATCAATTAAATGTAAGAAAATTTTAAATAAAATTTACATAATGATGAACACAAAACCAATAAATGGTGTGAAGAAAACAGAAAAAGAAAAGAAAAAACTATCTTAAGACAAATGTTTTCTAACTCCTTCTGAGTTCTTCTTCAGGCACTATAACAGTAACCAGATGGAACATTGTTTTGAAACAAAAAAGTTTTTTTGAAAGAAATGTAAATTCAAACCACAATTTGAACTATGAGTATAAAAAATTCAAAGCCACACATGCATTGTCTGTGTACAACAAAGATTCAATCAATGACTATACTGTCATGTCTAGTAGAGCCAGCTAGGCCATTGACATCATTTCCTCCTTAAAATTTATACAAGATGGCACAAAATTAGCTTTAAAGATTTCTATGACCTTCAACCATCTGAGATGCTCCATTTGTTTTCTTCACACTAATTATTTTGTACATATTAGTCATTACATATTTCCTAATGTAGTGTGTTGCTATAAAATTTACATTCTATTACAGTAGAGCATCGGTTATCTGAAATGTCAGTTATCCGAAAGAATTCCAGTTGGCAAATTTAAATTTTTGCTAGTGCTATGACGCTGCAATCTTCAGCTATATCTTGAGATATTCCAATATTTTTTTTGTTGGTGTGTGTGTTTTAGCTGATAGCACTGACACTTTTTTGTAGTGTTTTTCTGAGGACTGTGTCGTGCTGAATCGAACGTTTTTGATACAGTAGAGTCTCGAAAACTCGGCACTCGATAACCCGGCACTCCAGATAACTCGGCCACACCCTGGCAGGGCAAAAACATCCTTAGTTAATTAATTTTCATTATAGACAGCTTTATGCCTCATAAAGTATTTTTCTGAGGTCTGTCTTATCAGGTAAATTACTGTACACAGTGTATTCATTAATTTTCATTTTCATGTAGTAAAGGCTCTATGCCTTCATAAAGGA